CATGAGCTGTCCCTCAAACCCAAAGTAGATCCTGATTTTTTCCCAATAATTCCTCCCTCAGGAAACCTACCTACTTAAAAACAAACAAACAAACAAACAAACAACAACAACAAAAAACCCAAACAAAACAAACAAACAAACAAAACCCCACACCATGATCATTAACTCTCAGTTTCTGCTGCAGGATCAACCTGCCCCACCTCCCACACTGAGTCTAATGTAAGCACATAAACAACCCTATCTGACAAGGCATTTCTTCATCATCACACCAGCAACGTTATCAAGATAAAAGTTTGGCCTGAAGCATGATTCTTATCTGTATTACTATTATGTCATTGTAACTTTTGATACAAAAAAACCCCCTGGATTCTGATGGATTGGAGAAAACCTACTAGACCATTATCAGCTCAAGAGTAAATCAGGACTGTGTCTCAGCCATGTCCTGGTGCAGCACAAACACTAAGCAGCTATAATAAATTCTGTACTATATTTGAAAGAAGGCTGTTTCCTTCCCTCTCTCATAAGTTGTTTCATTTAAAGCAATGCCTCCTGAAAGTGCTGTGGCTTGCCTACACCAGCCAGTCATGCCATCCAAGTCAGCAGTCTCAAAGCCCTAGAGAGAGAGAAATACTGTGTGAAGGCCACTGCACATACAAAGCCAAAAGATTCATCATTAATTTGGCTGGCAGAAGCATGTCTTTCAGTCATAAGTGACTTGTCATAGATGCAGCTACTTGGTGTATTTTTTACCATGCTTCTAACTAACAAAGCTAAGTCCATCAAGCTTTTAAGGCAAACATTGGTATCATTTAATCCTAACAAAACAGTGAAGGTAGAAGAAAAAACTACAGACAACAAACAACAATATTGAGACTGACTTCCAGTTCCCAAATCTGAACTTTAACATCCCTTTCAAATCCATTGATTATGACAACACAATCTACAATTAGGTACAAATTCCAGTAATTTCTAGAACCTTGCTTGCCAATGCCATTTTCTTAGGCTTGCCTTTTGTTTTTTAACTAAGCTCATGCCCCACTTAAGTTTTCTGCCTGCATAACGATGTTGGTGATGGACACAACGAGGCATCAACTCCTACACAGCTGCACAAAGAAGAGGCTCTGGAAATATATACATCAGGAAAACCAGGCTCCTGCTCCTGAAAGGGCCAGGCAAACACTACACGTTTGAGTAGCAGAAAAAGGAAGTCATACCAGCAGGATCACCATTTAGTTGGCCCACGCTGCATTTGCATTATAGTGGCAAAGGTCCACTAAGCCAGAACCAGTGGCAAAGTTCTCCTCGTGTGCAAGGTGAATCCAGAGCCTCATCTTGCTGTGCTCTGCCACCCCAGAAGCAATGCAGTTAACCTCCTCCTGCACACACCACAACACCCCGGGGAGCTCCTCTAGCGTGCCATGCCAACCCCACGGTGTAGTCAAAGCAGCTCAACACAAGCTGTAGCTTTGGCACTTGCCTTGCAGATTTCCAGCTTGAGATCAAAAAGTTCTTGATTAACTTCACAGGTAGTCACCATCTCTGACACAGCTTTATAAATAAGACTATTCAAAACTCTGCAGCGTATGTTATCTTCTTTCCTAGTTTTTGTCTGGTCATTTTTCATTACAAAGTCCACGTTGGTTGGTTTATACATCTTAAAAAAAAAAAAAAACAAAAAAAACCCAAACAAAAATCAGTAATTACAAGCTTGTATTAGGCAATTATATACAGTGTTATGCACTCAGTGTGTATGTCCTTAGAATGTCATTTTATTGCACCTGTGATGGCTTTATATGTCTTATGGATTGGGTGCTTCAATAAAGAATATTTCTGTTCCCAAAATCTTTGACCTTCATGTATTACAGTCGAGGTTTCTTAATTTCCTTACTATTTTGTAGCAAGGTATACATCTCAACAAACCCCTTTTCTAAAATACAGCATGTATTAACTGAAAAGCATTGCTTGTTTGAATATCAAACATAAAAACTTGTTTTCTGTAAAAGTAAAATTAAGCTGGCATACAGAAATTTTAATCTGGATCGGTTCTGTGCTGTGGGCTCAGGAGCGTACAAAAGGGCACAGTTGCTGGTGAAAGGCCAGCACAGAAGAGGGAACAGCCACGGGGAGCTCCTCTCCTCAGCAATCCTGGCATGTCACAGTGAAACTGGAGTCCTAGTGTTCAATCAGAAAATTCTGCTACTTCTCCAAGAGAAAATGCTTTTCCCAGTTAGACACAAACTGGCAGAAGCACAAACTGGCACAGATAAACACAGCACCTTTTAAGAAGCTTTCACTTACCAATTTAGATCCCAGGGTAGGGCTGTCATACCAGAATTTCTTCCTTTGGGAAAAAGGACGGGAAATCAGCGTTCTCTCTCAGAGACCAG